ACACCCCCCCCCCCCCTTGTGCAGATTGGACTATTGTTGAGCGTCCCACATCAACACATGCACAGCTTTTGTTTTAATGTTTTATTTTCTAACACTGACATTCCTGTAAAGCTGCTATTCTCACTGATCAACTGTACCACCTAGGGGAGCCCGCCCCCTACCTTGGGAACCACCAATTAATAAAACTGCCAACTTGAGGCGCATAATTCATATTCAACAGTTAGAGAATCTGAAAGTGAAAGTGTTCATCTCGATCAACTAACATGAGGAATCATTGTCAAGTTCTCCCGCTTTGTCGTTACCTTTAATTAAAATATCCAAGTTCACTTTGACTATGAAAGTAAATACAGTAGCAGCTTTTAGCTCATAGATTAAAAAAACATCAACACAATGTTGTGTTCGATATAGACGTGAAGAACCACTGACGGTGGTTTGGACGGAGCAGACGGTCACTTTTATTTTGAAGCTACAGTACGAGCTGCGTCTGAGACAAATGACTGTCCTGTCTACTGTTTATTAGAGCCATAAATCAAGGTGTAGTGAACAAATGAAAGTGGACAAGTCAATGTCACCTGAGGACAACCAAGAGTCGTTTCTGCTGTGAGTTATTTGAGTTTGAAATGTTCAATAAGGACATACAATATAACCTGTGGACCACATCAAACATCTGTTTAAATTCAAACCACCATTTGTTTTGAGTTGTTTCAACTGAGCTACAGTAACACCCGTTTACTTTCTGTTATTTTTGTGTTGCTAACATCGACGTTGGTTCATTTTCTGTGTTTCCAGTGTGAACCAAAGAAGAGGTGAAACATCTTCAAATAAACCTCCAGTCCAGCTGCTGGTGAGTCACAACATTTGAAGAACGCTGACCTAGATAAAGAGGAAAGTAAACTAAAATAACTTTGGGCTTTGGCCCGTCAGTGGGAGTTAGTGGATAGATTTCTCAACCTGGGATTGGGAACTCGGTGGAACTGAACCTCAAAACTTCCTTTAACCTATTTTTGAGAGTTTTTCTAATTTATTGGTTCAGTGAAGAAAATCAAGCAAACGTAAAAAAAAACAAAAAAAAACAAGCAAACCCTCAGCACAGCTTTCAGAACTGCTTGTTCAATTTTGTACGACTGATACCGAGGGGCAACGGTCAGCGCTTTCATTACACTTATCCTCCAGCAGAGGGACCCAGAGTGTAATAGATGATGGTGGGAAAAACACAAAGCACATCGTACCACATGTGGAAGCACTCAGTGTGTGTGTGTGTGTGTGTGTGTGTGTGTGAGCGTGTGTGTGAAAATCAGAACAATGGAGGTAGACAGGAAATGAGACTGTGCTCCGTGTGAGCAACATTTCACTTCCTTCCCAAGACCACCACTGCTGCCACCACGGCACAGTCATGGATTACTGGCAAACACTCAGCCATAATGTCTGTGTGTGTGTATGTGTGTGTGTGTGTGTGTGCATGTGTTTTCATGGAAACACAGTCAGATCTGGCTGAGGGTCAACTCTGAGGATCTTCAGTCTCTTTGTCTCCACACCTTCATCACGAGCAGCAGGACTGACGTTCACTTTACTGTACATGGACGGACGACGTTCAGTCCAGGACCGTCTTTGTGGGGACAGTGTGGTGTGGTGTGTGTTCTCTTTGTTCTGGGGTTAGGTTACAGCCGGGGTCAGGACTTTCTCTTGGGAGGGACCGAGTTTGTTCAGGTAAAAATGTGACAAAAAAAAAAAAAAAGCCACTCCTCCAACTGTGAACATGGGGACAAAACTGGAGTTTGTTTTAAATGAGCTGAAAATAAATCAGCATGACTTGACTGAGGGAGACTTGAACCTTAAATCTTTGAATTTTCAGATACTGCATACGAATGAAAAATATTTTGCTTGAGTTCAGAATAAACTGCTGAAATCTTGCAATCCTTAATTTAAAATATTGAACAGATCCAGTGTGACTTACAAGAGGATAAATAAATTGTTAAAAAAAAAAGATCACAGTTAACCAATATGGTCTAATTCATTGTTTCCCAAAGACTGGGTCGCGACCCTCAGGTGGGTCGCAAGAGATTTGTTTTTGGGTCGTCTCGCATCATGTTTCCCAGGAGTTTACGAATAATGTCTATTGACTTGGGTCGTGAAGTTGAAAAATTGGGAAACACTGGTCTAATTCACCGATTCCTAAACTGTAGCGCCCCCTTGTTACAGGACTACTTTACAGTAAACCTCCGTCTCCCCATTACTATTACTTCAAATTTACACGCAAACAAAAAAAATAATAAAATAAATACAGTGAACAACCCTGGAACAAACACAATCTAATTTCCTGTTCTGGCGAGGGCTGTTCCAGCTGCTCAGGTTCATGTTGATGTTGGCAGAGATCCTACAGGTGAAGAACGATGAGCAGAGAGCAGCCTGACAGAGAAGAAGCACTGCAGCAACACAGGATCCCCGGGGATCAGCAGGCATGATGAGAGTGTGTGAGTGTGTGTGTGTGTGTGTGTGTACCTGGTCATACTGGCGCCTATAAACTAGGACATCCTCTAACTCACACCTGCTCTGGGTGATTTTATTGCCTTTGTGTAGACACAGCAACACAACTGTCCTACATTCACTGCAGCTACAACAACATCATCATCATCATCATCGTCATCATCATCACATTATCTCTATTTTTGTTAAAAACCAACAAAGCATCTACTCTGCCTTAGTTACAACTGGGTCACTCAGATACCACCGAGTTGACTTTAATGTTTTATTAATATAATATAATATAATATAATATAATATAATATAATATAATATAATATAATATAATATAATATAATATAATATAATATAATATAATATAATCCATTAACAACCAAGTTTTTATGACTTGGACAAATATGACTACAACAGTGATGTTTCAGGATCATATTTTTTGTTTGTTTTTTAAAATAAAAACTGGCTTTCTTTAAGTTTTTCCATCATACAATTTAAAATGTTTTAATTGAAAGTAAACAAAGGACAAGGACATTTCCAGATGTCCTGGCAAATACTGACCATCAGGACAGGAAACACTACTAGTTTTTTTTGCTGACTCACCTCTTGCTGACTTGACTTTTCTCTGTCCAGGTCCACATCCCGTACAGGTTCTGGTTCTGGAGATCCTGGTGTTCCCTCCCCCGCCCTGTCTGCCCGGCTGTCATTGTGAACTTGAGAGGAAGAGGAAGACGACGCGGGGGAAGACGGAGGAATGGACGGCGAGGGGGTCGTAGCTCCACAGTGGTGGGAGGGGGAGAACGAAGGGGACGCGTGGTCACCGCGCAGACGCGCCGACTGCTGACGTAGCGTCTCGTTCTCTGAGGCCAGTTCCTGGCGCTCCCTCCGAACATTGGTCAGCTCCTTGGTCAGGGTGTCCAGTCGCTGCCTCAGCTGACGGACCTCGTCACGCGCTCGGTTGCGCTCAGCGCGAACCTGTGAGACAAAAGGGAAACTGTTAAAACAAACTTGAATTTTCACACTATAAAATAACAATAATACTTTAACCCTTCAATAACCAACCATTATTGGTAGGTATGATATTTGTTTTTTCTTTCGGTGCCTTAATTCGGATGTGTGTAGTTTTTTGGAGTTGTACTTCAGCCATGCTAAATTTGACCACATTTTTCAGGTGTATTTTAATATTATATATATTTCAGTCGATCCATTTGAGTTGAGACACATGATTTGCTGATTAAAACCAAACAAATGAGATGAAAAAAAAAATCCTGATTGAGAATGAATTTCAGGTAAATATCTGGAGTAGCAAGATTTCTAATCCTGCTGGTGAGATGTGGTAATGCAGCCAGAACTGTTAGTGAATAAATAAAAATAAATAAATTATATTATGCAGAAACATGTTCACTGTGAACTGGTTGGTGACACTTTGGATTCCCAATAAAAACTTTGGGAATGAATGTTTTAGTTCAAATCTTCAGAGAAGCCTGGCTGAGCTCGTGAGAAGGTCCAGAGTGAACAGTGAATGTTCTGCTGCCTGCATACTTAAGCCATGAAACATCAGCCCGTGATAACGATCCAGAGATTTCCCTGATGTTGTGAACGTCTCACACCCTGACTACTGTGTCCAGAAATGTCTTTGAAATACTTCTCACAGTATTTATTTTTTGACAACTTTAATTCCCTGTAATGCGATGTGGCCCATTTGTATAGACTGCAGCCCAACACCACTAGTAGTGGGACTCAGCTGAGTCGCCCTGAGTCAGTAGCCCACCTTGCTCCACTTCTCCCTCCAGTTGGCAGTACAGTCCGACCACCATCTCATGGTCTTCTCCATCTGGGCCGCTCTGGCTCGAGCCTCCTCCAGCTCCCTGAGCCGCAGCTCCTCCCTGCTCTCCCAGTCGGCTCCTGCTCCTTCACCCAGGGCTCCCAGAGATCCCAAACCCAGGCCTCCAAGTCCAGGCGACAGCAGCAGGGGAGGACTGGAGCTGGGGGTCCCTCCGGTGGGGCTGGGGGTGTGAGCTAGGCTGTCTGGAGAGCGGATCCCCCTGTCAGGCCCCAGACCCAGGCTGCACAGCAGTCCGCCTCCGCTCGACTTACCACCTTCAGACAGGTGGGGGCTGGGAGTGTGGTTCATGCTGAAGGCAGTGGTGAAGGCGAGGGCCACGAGAGGAAGAAAGTTTCAGAGTGGGGGAGGACTCAGGAAAACATTCTCACCCTCTGCAGTCGCTGATTTACCTAAAGAACGCACAGAAGAAGGACATTTGGTCAAAAAAAAGGACAACGTTAAGAGATGTGTGTATATTTAGTTTGTTGACTCTCATGTGTTTTGACATCGAGTGGAAAACATCTTAAGTAGAACTGCTTTTTGAAATTGTAAAAGATCTAGAGAAGTTTACACAAATGGTCCAAAATGACAACTGCAATTTTCCAAACCTCAAAATGACAAGTGACTAAATGTCTGTATTTTCACAAACCAATGATACGTTTATAGAGACAGAAAACCATGACACATATAAATTATTTTTTTCAACTTTCTCACCGTTATAAAACTAGGATTAAGACTGGATGGCTGGCAGGCAGAACAGTCGGAGAAAAGAAGTAAAACTAAAATACTCCAGTTACTTAATGTGGAAGGAAGCTCGACTTTCAACAGAGTGGCCACAACAATAAACACAGAAGATCTTGGACTGAGTCTGGAACCAAAGCCAAGTCAATTCAAATTCAAATTCAAATTCAAATTTGAGACATATCTATCTATCTATCTATATACATATATATATATGTATATATATATACAACACATACAAATAAATATATGTATATATTGGTGTATATATACCTGTTTATGTATATGTACACACACGACACATACACACACATACACATGCAAATATATACAGACATATATGTCAAATTGTTGCACAGACAAGAATTCCAATTAGTGTTTTAAACCACAACGCTGTATAACTATCTCTGTGGCGCAATTGGTTAGCCCCTCCCACACAGGGAGGGGCTATTATTTCACTTGTGGCGCGATTGGTTAGTGTGTACGGCTGTTAACAGAAAGGTCGGGGGTTTGAGCCCACACAGGGAGGGGCTATTATTTCACTTGGTGTCTGCCAACAGGGGCAGATCTGCTGTTCACACAAGAATTGCCCAAATATAGGTTCAATAAAGTTCTAATTATTTATTTATTTAAACTCTTTACTTACACAAGTTAAATTTAAAGTTTGTTTTTTAAAGTTTCTTAAGGTTTACAGGGATTGAATCAGCAACCGAAGCAACTGAACTGTTGTAGTTCAGTCCAGTTTATTATATACAGTTACGTCACGTGGTTACAAAACACAAATACGAAGTGACACAGGGAACGATGCATGAAACCCAAGTCCCAACATAATCACGACCAACTAACTGCCACTGAGACGTCTCTGGTTTTCAAATTAAATGCGACCAGGGTTTAGTTTTTAGGGCACGCGTTGGGAAAAAACACAGATTTTATCCATTTTTTAAAACGTCAGCTACACTCAACGCTGTAATATCTGGATGAATATTAAACAGCTCTGTCTTCTTCTCCTTTTTCTTCATAATGAAATGCCTCTGGACTGTGATTGGTTGATGTGGTTTACAGTTGGATGTGAATAGATGCTTACATTTTCTGACACGAGGACGACTGCTGTGAAGACTGAAGCTCATTAAACTGGACCTGACGTCTGGCTGTGAGAATCTAATGTGTATTTTAACAAAGGCTGTTTATGCTGAGAGTCATTTAGTCTCTGCTAAGTTAAACACCTTTCTCATGGGGCTGAAACTAAATTAAATGCAAATTAGTTATGGCTATAAACAGGAGGGTTACTCTGCGTTTGTTGTCGAGGTTAAAGGCACCAATTTTTAATTAGATAATTAAACCTGGGGGATCAATATTAAACCCTGGCCACAAATTATTCTCTCTTAAAATGAAAACACAACGCAGACACATCAACCTCTGCATTTGTGCTTTAAATATTCAACAGTACATATAAATATACACTCACAATTGACCTACTCAGTGTGAAACATGTTTAGTTAAACACAACGCTGATGTAACCACAGGGATGGAAAAAAGACCAGCAGATCAACAGCAGCTCTGAGTCCTTTCTTTGGTTCTTTTTTCTAGGTTTTTACAGCCATTTGCTGCCACCTACTGGTAGAGTATGTAATTGTTCTGAATGTCACTGTAGCATAGACTAACAAACACAAGTCATTAGTGAAATCGGATCTGTCGCATCATAATAGTGGATGGGAATCGCTGCATCGAACTGAAGAAGAGTTGATTTTTGTTGAACCAAATCTCACAGTACGTATTGCTGCTTTTTTTGTTCCTGAAAATACTTCCAAGCTGCTGAGATTGTTATACACTTTAATAAACTACCCAGAGGGCAATGAGACACTGAACTGCAGTACGAAAACACACAACACTGGCTGTCCAGTTCCTGTTAGGAAGGATCAGGTCACCGGAACAGAACATGATTCCGACTACAGATATGGGTGTTTGAGTTCAGTATCAGGGAACACCTGTATCTGAATGAACACCATTCCTTGATGTATTTAGTTGTACTTGTGGATACAAATGGGTTATGAAAGTCTGAGAAGTTCTATGTGGGTCAGTGTGCAGTATTCCTACAGGCGTCCTGATATCCAACCATATATGGGTGAAGGAAAACTGGATCAAACCATGGGCTGTTTCATTCTTCATCGATGGACTCCAGAGTGAACCAGTGTGAGGCCTACACGTCCACGGACTCCAGACCCCAGGAGCCAGAGTGAACCAGTGTGAGGCCTACACTGTCATTCAGTATGGGTGTCAAAGTAAACTCAAGCTTTTTAACTTGACATGTTTTCTTAAAATTATTTAGGGTTTGAAAAATTACAAGAGAGATTTTTACTTCTGGTTCTTGGCTTACCAAGTAAAAAAAAAGCTGAGGTCTGCCTCAGGAATGGGTGGGTCACCCTTAATCGTCCATCCACGCTCAGTGCCAGGTTTGGGTCAAAACGTGCTGGAGAAAACTCTCACTCTCGTATGTGGTGAACCTGGACGCAAACTCTGTTGGGGCCAAAAAAAGCTCAAGACCTTCCGGTGCCTCTCTTCCTCCCTCACCCTCACCCCCGCCTCCTCCCTCCTCCTCCTTTTCCTTCTCCTTCTCCACAGCAGGCAGGGGAGCCGTTAAGATGTGGGAAATACTTTAAGTGGAACAATTGAAAAGAGGAGAACTGGGTTTTTAAGTGGTGGTTTATTAGACATCGTGGACACACACCAGTAGTAGCTGCTCAATAATGAGCACCGTTAAAAACTTTACAGCGTCGTTCACTGTACAATGGCACAACTTAGTCTTTTTAGACCGAGTTTTCTTTTATTTAAATGATTGAAAAAACAGAAGGTTATCAGTGTGGGAAACCGTCTTCTGCCAAAATTCTTGACTGCACTCAGAGCGCTCACCAGCGGACCTGATATCCCCTGATGGGCCGACGGTAAAAGAGAAGACAGCGATGCTATGCTGTTTGTCAGCACGGCTGACATCATTTATAAAAATGTTTTTTTAGAAGTGAATCATCAGATATAAAAAATGTAAAAAAAAAAAATTGCTGTCGGATTCTTGTCATTTTAGACATCATATCATTAGTAGTCTGCAGGGTGTCAAGTTTTTCGCAGATTACTCAAGTTAACCAACTTTGGGGACACCACTAGGTGGCAGTTCAACTATCTAACCAAGGTCATTCCACAAAACAAAACCTAAAAAAATACAATGGCAAGTCAAAGTGGTATAAAACAAATCATTTATAATTACAATTATCCTAGAAACGTTGGAACTTTTGACGGTAAAATATTCAACCTTTTTAACGCAAAATAAAACCTTAAAAAATACAATGGCAAGTCAACGTGGTATAAAACAAATCATTTATAATGACGGTAAAATATTCAACCTTTTTAACGAAACAATTTTTTAATCAGGTTGTTACTACAGTGTGTGAATCAAATAACCCAGATTCTTTTTAAAATAGTCCAAAGGTACATCTGGTCTGAACCTAACTGGGCGGTTCAAAGTGACTTTGTTAGGTACTGACCTATAACAACAGCCAGCTGCACTGTCTGCGCCCCCTGTGGAGCAAAAACAAGCCGGCGGATCCTCATTACAAACATGACTGCCATTGGAAAACACTCAGACTCACTACTGACTCAATAAATCACGTTAAACTTACTTCAACAAGTCCCGTCGCTTTAAATTAGCCTTCAACATACATACGTTCGACTGCTGGTAACCAGATTTTTCCCAAACCGCTAGGCTACGTCCAAGTTCTTCATTCCGTGTTCTTCTTTTCTGCATTTACTCCTTCATTGTTCCTGCGTCTCTCTCCGTTTGTTCTCAGCTTTATTTGCCCAACCTCCACGTGAACCCCACCCTCTGTCAGCACAGTGAGCATTAAAGCGCACATCCAAGCAGCCTCAGGGTAATAAAGTCTTTAAAAGAACATCTGCCCTCACTGACCATATGTTGTTCATTCCAAACACTGACGAATGCTCGGTTAGAACTCAGAGATTTAACATTTAACGCACAATCAACAAGGCTCCACCACCTCCAACACACAACAGAATTTCACAAACACATTTGTATCTTATCTGGGTGATCATCTATGAGTCTGAACACACACACACACACACACATACACACCACAGGGGGCTGGTTTGCCCATGTGACTGATTTATGTAAATGTGACCATAAAAGGACAAACTGATATAAAGGATTTTTAGGAAAGTCTGCTCTGAAGTGTGTGTCTGACGCAGCAGGTGTTCTCTTCATGGTTTAATTGACAACACACAGCTTTGGATTGGTTTTTAACACTTTGCGCTGTCGTTAGATGGCTAACGAAGCTCAGAATTAATGAAGAAAAAAGAAACCCTAATTGGACAAGATATAAAATATCATTAAAAGTGCCCTAGGAGGCGCTCCATGATGGTTTGTGGATTTAGGGTTTAGGAACAGCACGGAAACAATTCCGAGACCATGGTTCTGAGATTGGAAACAGTGGGAAGTGGGAGTGGGAGTGGAGAGTCTGCCCCCAGTGGAGGAGCTTTTTTTAATGAATAAATGATCAGATCTGTTCACCCTACGTTTGGTTTCAATTTCCAGGCTTTCAAAATAAAATCCCTGCTTCGCAACTATTGTTTTTCATCGTTCACTTTTCTGAAAGTAATTAGTAGA